TATATATATATATATATATATATATATACACACACACACAATAAGGAAGACTTGTGTGATAGAACAATACCACTCATATGACATCTATGCTAAACTTTAGTCGGATCAGACAGCCATCTCTGGTCAAAGGACAATGCTGAATGTCAGGTGAAAGATTGATCACTTCTACTGGAATAATCTCTATTGTTCTTCCCTTGATATGCTGATGCATCTTTCCATAGTGTAAACATGTTGAGCTTATGTGGTTTTGGAGCCACTGGCACACAGAGAAATCTGACGGTGGTCAGAGCATGGATGTAGGTCTGATTTTGTCTTCGTGTCTCAAAAAGGCAGTTATCTTAAAGGAGAACTACGAGGCGAGTGAACATCACTCATCCTCATAGTTCGAGCCGACTTGTGACAATGAAACTGTCACATGTCGGCTCAATAGATCGGGAAGTGAGCGAACACATACCGTCACTCGCTCACTTCTCAATCATCTCCCTGCATGGTAGCTGGCTCTGCCTCTAGATAGGCAGAGCCAGCTGTCACTCACGCAGCTGGGTGGATCTCGACAGTAATGTCGGGATCCGTCCCAGCTGCGGCAGTCTTAGTATACCGCGAGCTGTAGCTCGCGATATACTGAGCTTTGGGTCACGGGAGTACACTAGTATATATCCTCCGGTGACCCTAGAGAACTATGGGGAAAAACACTTACACCATAGTTCTATTTTAAGTACAAAATCAGAATTCACATTTTTGTGTGATTGGACTTTAGTACACCACAGTAATTTGTGTTCCCTGGGTAATGTTAGATTGCTCTGCTTTACTAAGTGAGCCTGTTTGTAGAGTAGAGATAACCGTAGTGCCACCATAAGCCCTCCGCAATTAAAGTCACAGGTCTGGGAGCCCTAGTGTAATCCAGCCTCTTGGCACCTAGACATAGTTACATTAACATTCTTCCACTGCTTCTTACATCATTTGGAATTATTAATAAAATTAATATGTATGTTTTGACCACACAAATAATTTCTATGGCTTTTGTGAATAACTGTGTTTTAGGGCTACTTCGGAGCTGTCGGGGCCCTTCTGGAGCTGCTGAAGATGAATGACGAACGCTAAGAAGATTGTCGGTGCAAGAATTGCACACCTCAAGGCTGCTGTCTGAGAGTCTCCTTCCTTCCTAAGCTTCCAAGAGATGCATACAAAGCCATTTCGCACCTGTATGTCGTGTCTTGTACATAGAGCAGATTCCTTTGAACAGACACTGAAATCCTGTACATATCTGTATATTTTATTGTATAAACCAACTTTGCAACATGGCCAAATGTACTGTAGTGATTTTAGAACTAATTTTTATGCAGTAATTGTTCATATTTATATTTCTTTTTTTATGTACATAGTCTTTTACCCTGCCAGATGTGCGGGGCTGCTGCTGTTTTAAAATAGAGATCTCTGTTTTATGTCTTTTTATCATAACATCTCTGTTAGTTGAACGTTAATGCTAAATGTCAGTAATGCTTCATTTGGGACTCTGAAAGGGATATGTCATTTTGTCCAGATTGGATCTATGGAATTGTATAACTGCCTGCTGGGTCACTCTTACCTTTCCAATGAGAGTCCCTTGTTGGAAAACCAATCATCCACATTTGGACTAATTCTAGTGTGGTATAATGTTGGGAAAAAATATATCTACTGAGTAGTGAAAAAGGTCTAGCTTGCTTGTGCTGATAGGAGGACAACTGTCAGTTTTATTTTAAAAAATTTGATTTTTTTTTTTAATTAAAAAAAAGTGCTTTTATGTATATAAGGTATCTTTTATGTCGTTTTTCAAATAAACATGTAGTGCAAGGCTCTTCCATGACGTTTTAGGTTACCCTTGCTCATTAAAAACACTAAGGCCCCATTTACACGGGGCAATTTGGGATTCCTGTGGCAGGGACCTACAGATTCACACCTACGGTATCGCATACAATAACATGCAGACTGTGGCTTACAGATGCGGCTGCTGTCACCCTGTCAATAACCTAAACGGGCACAGCACCCACATCTAAATGGGGACACCTAGCATTCCTGCCACAGGGATGCCAGAACATCCCATGTGAACATGGCCTAAAAATCCACGTGGAGAGCCTATAAAAGCAAGCAGACATGGAGGGTGGTGTGTTCATCCTCTGACTTTGTGTGTTGTGAATAGAAATGAATAGCAGGAGATCAAATTGCTCAGGCTATTCACAGCATATAAAATATGTACAAGAACACTATACATTCCCTTATTCCCTTTAAGCCACTACTGCCATTAGGTTGTGGGTTATGCAGTCTTTTCAGTGTCGGTCTTGTGCTAACTCAAGAGTCTGTTTTCTTCTCACTTATGAGAGAGTCAGTGCAGCACTGATAGAATTTTAATCCTTTTTTTTTTTTTTTTTTTTTTTTTTTTTAAATGACTGCCAGTTATATAAGTGAAAGCTACATTTTTATTGATAATGGCTAGGCAAATGTGAGTTGATATTTATTGCATTATATCTGTTGCGGGTTGAAACCTAACTAAAGTCATGCTTTCTATTGTGTAGTCAGGCTGCTTAACAAGTAGAAATAAGGCATTTTTCTTTCTAAAATTACTGCTCTCACAGAGTGCAGTGGTGCAGGTCTCCAGTGGACTGACACTCCTCCAGCTCAGTACTCAAATCAACATCGCTCATACTTACTGGGCTGTATTGTTTATTTGGAGCACTGTGCAGGGGTCTTGTTGGACGGCTGGAGAGCTGTGCTGTGTATCAGAGCAGTGGTCCGGCTCTCCGGCATGCTGATGGCACAAGGCAGCTCATTACAGTTTAAAACACTAACACAGAATAAAAAAATAAAAAATCCATATGCTTTACTTGTTATGCAGCCTTGCTATCATGTGACATAAAGGCCCCTGGAGATTTATGCACGCTTGCAGTAGCCTCCCAACCCTCCAATCATGGCGACATGCTGGGGCGTCCTGAAAGGCAAAGCTCCAGATCTTCCTGATAATGCTGAAGCTTGCTCCTACCACCTGCCTTTTTGCTAGTGAGGCTGCTCATCATAGTGCTAATTAAGCAGCAAGTTCTGGCACTACTCTGGAAAGTCGGAGCTCAGTCTGTTAGAGTGGCCAGTGATTCCGCCATGACAGGAGAGTATGAAGGTCTCCTTCAGGTATGTGCACCTCTAGGAGATTCTACTTCATACCAAGCATTTTACCCCATGACAGATACTCTTTTTTTAAATGAAGCTGACTTGGCCTAATATGCTGTAAGGTAACAGTGCATGGACCTTGTGATGCTTGCAATTACCTACAGTAATCTTTAAATCAATCCCTATGTCCCATCTGAGCCCCTTGGTTTCTAGGTCCAGGCTGTACATGGGGCCTTGTCTTTTGTCCAGGTCAAGAATAATCCTGCCTCCTCATAACACTAAGCCCTGGCCCTGTCCTTTAACGTGTCATTTGCCAGAGCCTTTGTTGTCCACTGAAGCCCTGGTATTTGACAGCTAAATGACAGAGGTAAACTTTAATTTTAGGAGGGGAGGACCTTAATGTCGAGCAGATGTTGAGGTACATGTACAGCCCATGCAAGGAATTCAAGGAAATGACACATGGAAGCAAGGATCGAAGGTCCATGCAGTTCTCTGCTGTAACCTTACATACTATTGTAGATGTATTTAGACTAGGTCAGCTTCACTTTAGGTTCTACTTTTAAAGAAATCTTTTTAAATCTATTTTGCAGGGGGTATAGGAATAAAAGAGATAATCTATGTAGAAAAATAAAATCGAGTCCTCTATACAATTGTAATAACTTGCTGATATTGATCGTTAATGATAATGCCCTCTCATGTGAGAACACTTGAATTGATATTTAATGACTGTGACCTTGTTTTAGAAAATAGCTTCTTTTTTTAACATGTTTTCATATGTTGAAGTTCAAATTCACTGCACTTAATTTATGCTGGTGTTTAAGAAGAATATTCAAACTTTCAAAGGCTGTTACCACAGTCGGTTAATAATAATATGTTTATTTTGTAATGCAAAATAAAATGGGTATTGAACACTAAAATACACTGTATGCTCATATTAATATGCTGTTTATATTTTTGTATAAGTCATGTAACCTGAAAATGTCTGGAGTACAAAAGTCTGGTTAAAGGGCAGCGTGACCCAAAACAGATTTTTCTGTCTCGGATCACATGGAGTAGAGTTTTACTTCTGGACACTGGCTGGAAGATCTCCTTCCACCCCAGACACGGTTGTGACAGGCCAAACCTGAGTTTTAGCCAAAGGACTATTGTCAACTGGAGTTTTCCATACACCTAAGGAAATTCAATAGGGCAGGGGTGCCCATTAGGTCAATCGCTATCTACCAGTTGTTTGCAAAACGAATGCTGAAGCTGTTCTTACAAGTTGACTCACTGTCCCAAGCTCCCTCCTGCAGTGCAGGTGTGGCCGAATGTGCCAGACACTGCAGACGGGGAGGGGAGTGCTGCGCCTGCAGCGTCTGACACATTCAACTGCACTAGCACTGCAGGAGGACAGGACAGCGCATGTGAAGAGCCAAGAAGCAGTTAAAAAAGCTGCTAAAGATTTGTGGTGCCTCTGAAAGGAGAGACAGCCAGGAGAGCGCGCGGGGAAAGACAGCCAGGAGAGAGCGCGGGGAAAGACAGCCAGGAGAGAGCGCGGGGAAAGACAGCCAGGAGAGAGCGCGGGGAAAGACAGCCAGGAGAGAGCGCGGGGAAAGACAGCCAGGAGAGAGCGCGGGGAAAGACAGCCAGGAGAGAGCGCGGGGAAAGACAGCCAGGAGAGAGCGCGGGGAAAGACAGCCAGGAGAGAGCGCGGGGAAAGACAGCCAGGAGAGAGCGCGGGGAAAGACAGCCAGGAGAGAGCGCGGGGAAAGACAGCCAGGAGAGAGCGCGGGGAAAGACAGCCAGGAGAGAGCGCGGGGAAAGACAGCCAGGAGAGAGCGCGGGGAAAGACAGCCAGGAGAGAGCGCGGGGAAAGACAGCCAGGAGAGAGCGCGGGGAAAGACAGCCAGGAGAGAGCGCGGGGAAAGACAGCCAGGAGAGAGCGCGGGGAAAGACAGCCAGGAGAGAGCGCGGGGAAAGACAGCCAGGAGAGTGAGCAAAGGAGAGACAGCCAAGAGAGTGAGCAAAGGAGAGACAGCCAAGAGAGTGAGCAAAGGAGAGACAGCCAAGAGAGTGAGCAAAGGAGAGACAGCCAAGAGAGTGAGCAAAGGAGAGACAGCCAAGAGAGTGAGCAAAGGAGAGACAGCCAAGCGAGTGAGCAAAGGAGAGACAGCCAAGCGAGTGAGCAAAGGAGAGACAGCCAAGCGAGTGAGCAAGGAAAAATAGCGAGGAGTGACAACTTGTGTCCCTGCACTTGTCCTTTCTGCAGCCCCCACAATCCTGGTTCTGAGTGTATAGATGTAGGATAGAGAATTGATTGGAAATGTAGTATGAACCGTCAAAGCCCAGTTTTGTTTTTCGTTGGAAAATCTTAACCCAAAGAATTGTGGGCATCTCTGCACTAGGGGGTACTTGATATTTCTTTGTCCTGTGTAGCCTGTCAGACCGGTATCTGGAGTAAAGATAGATTAGCAAAGACCTGCTGGGGGGGTCACAGCATGCCCTCACTGAGAAGTCATCAAGGGTGGAGTTACTCTTTTACGCTATAGTCTATGTAGATAGAAATTGAAGTTCTCTGTGTAGTTAGTGCTTCATAGTCGCCTCATAAAAATGTAATCTGTGAAGTCCTGCCCTTACTTTAATGTATTATTAATTCTATTTGCATTATGTTTGTGCTGCTGGTGAGAGACAACTGCTCTGAAACAACCTTTGTGACCATTTGAGCCAGTCAGGAAACCATAGCGCCCACTGGGATACTATAGCTCTGGCCAGACTGTTTTTCTGCATCATACTAAGCATGCTTAGTGCCAGTACATAGAATGTTCATTCCCTCCTGAATAAACGGTCTACCTTTTGCTGATCTACAGAACAAAGAACTATGGTACTACTTCTATTACAAATGGGATAGCTTATACACCTATATTAGGTTTCAACCATGTAATTCTTGATACATGAGCCCATAGACAGTGAGCATATATGAGGGTCATGAAACAGTGTAATAACAAACTGTAGGGCATGTTATTCCTATAACTGACATGTACACAGTCTGACATCTTGTGAATGC